TCTTTCGGGCTTTTCGGGCTTTTCAGACTTGCTAGAAGGCCGATCTCTCTTATCAGTTGATTTTTCAGATGATTTCTCCACTGGTTTCAGCTTTTCTACCACCGGTTTATCGATTTTTTCTATTTTTTCCACTGGTTTCTCTGGTTTCTCCGATTTTTCAGCTTTCACGTCTTCAGATTTCAACTTCCCGCGACTCTTCGCCAAATCCACCAATTTTTGATATTTTTCCGGTTTCAACGCCTTCAACCTAATCGTTCCAGCAGATGGAACAACAAATGTCGGTGGTGGCGGTGGTGGAGGCGTCAGAATCTTCTTCACAGCAGGGACAACGACTTCAGGCTCTTCAGAAGGCTCACGGGACGTCGAAGCCGCTGAGACGGAGCTATCCGACAAGAATCGCGTTTCTTTTTCTAGCTGTTTATGCGATTCGAACGCTTTTTCTCGCTCTTTTTGTCGTTCTCTCTCTTTCTCTGCGTCTTTCTCTTTTTTGAGCTTCTCGATGAGATTATCGGGAATTGGAGAGAGTTGAGGGACATCCAGTCTGTAATTTTTTCAGAATTTAGGGACTTAAAATGCTAGAAAAATTATCAGACCAATTATCAGACCAATTATCAGACCAGGAGCTTTTTTTTTGGTGAAATTTCGGGTCATTTTAGGCTGTTTCAGAGCATTTTAAAGCCATTTTTCAACCCCCTTCGACTTTTTTAGGCCACTAAATACGATTCATTTTATACAATTTTTAGGCAATTTCGAGCCATTTTAAAAATGTTTTGAACTATTTGACGGTCATTTTTGGGCCATTTTAGACCGATTTCAGAACGATTTCAGGCAAATTTCATTCATTTTAAGAAAATTTTTGGACCCCTTTTGCCTTTTTAAGATCATTTTTAACGATTTCCAGGCAATATCCGGCGATTTCCAATAATTTTGAGTCATTTTAGACTGATTTTTCCAGAATTTTCAAATTTCTTACGTCTTCATGATATTCAGAATCGCTGTAATTTCCTCGGAACCATGATCCTCGTGCAGATCGCTCTCCGTCGAGTGCACTCCAGAATCCGGTGTTGATGGAGGGATTGCTGAAAGATTTGATTGTTCAAAAATTCAAAAATTCAATGTTCTCACAATTTCTAGACTCATTCTTCTTCCGTTTCGCCTCGACCTCCTCTGTCGTCTCTTCCAATTTCCGTTTTTTCGTCGATTCAGAAGACGTGGAAGGTTGAGAAAACGCTGACGACGTCGTTGGCGCTCGATTCGTCCTCCCTCCATTCGTCACGGCTCTTTTCAGGTCTGCGAACTCGTGTGGCAGAGCGCTTAATGGCTCGTCCACCAGATTTCGCATACTTTGAAGTGCCACGTGGACGGGCACATGGCTCGGCGAGTCGGATGGAGGGAGTTGGAGGTTCACACATGGTGCTGGTCGGGGCTTCATTTTTGCCTGAAAAAATTGAAAAATGAGAATTTCAAAATCCATTTAGGTTACTTTTTTTACTACTTTTAGAGTTAAAAATCGAGAAAATCCCAACAAAAAAAACGAGTTACAGCTATGTTTTCAGTCAAAAAAAAGCATTTCTACCTCTATTTAGCTATAATTCAAGGTAATTTCCAGCTCATGAATCAATAATAAATGCCCAAAAGTGTCTAGACATGTTTCGCGTGATTGGCTGGCAGGAAAAATAGATTAAACATAGGTGTCAAAACAACTAAAAGCTGGGTTTTTGGTAATTCTAGACTACAAACTATAAGAAACTTGGCGCTTTTTAAAAGCTTTTTTCTTCGAATTTTTGAATATAAAATTTGCTTTTTGTAGTTTGTAGTCTTGCTTGAAAAGGGTATGAAAAAAAAAATCATTTTTCTACGTTAATTTGAGTTATGAAAAAAAACAACGAATTTGGGTCTGCTAATTATTTTGAAGGTCTGAAGAGACCCAGAGAAAGAAAGGGAGCGCATTGGTCTGCAAATTATTTAACAGACCACTTCGGCCTGCTAATGTTGGCGCGCACTGTTCAGAGACGCAGAGAAAAGTGGTCTGCTAGGTATTTAGCAGGCCAACGCGTCCTCTATTTCTCTGCATCTCTCACTAGCAGGCCCAAGGTGTTGGCCTGCTAATGTTAGACGGAGAGAAATAGAGGGCACGTAGGCCTGTTAATGTTGACGCGCGCTCTCTGCGCCAAACATTAGCAGACCAAATCTCTCGTTTCTCTGCGTCTCTTTAGGCCTGCTAAATATTTAGCAGACCCAAATTTTATTTCCCTTGTAACTTCGCTTGAAATTAACCTAGCAAAGTGAAAATAGGCTCATTTTGCTGGGAATTTTTTTCTACATTTCCTGAATTCCCTTAGAAGTATTTAGCAGACAATTTTTTCAAGTTTCCGGGGCGATTTTTGATCCCCAAAATCGTTTGTGTATCATACAATACCGATCGTTCCCTCGTTTATCTCTCACCCTAATCAATCCATGCCTACTTGTCGCTTGATTCTTGGCCACCCGATCGTGAAACTCCTCAAATGGACCGAACCAGTCTAGAGAAATTGATAATTTAAAAATTAGCAAAAAAATTAGGTGACTCACCGGTCAAACTCCTTCGTATCCTTGCATTGTACTCTTCTCGAGAGTCCTCTTCCATCTATTTCTTTCTGAAAAATAAGATTTTTTAAAGTATAAAAAAAAAGAAAAAAGGAACGAAAATGCTAAAAAAGAGGAAAAACAGCAGCAGAAGTTTGTTGTATCAGTAGTTAATAGGATATAGGATTATGATCTCTCTACTTCTCTCTAGCTTTTCTATACTATTTCTTTTGATGTTTGCAGATATATAAAGTTTAGGGATGAAGCGATAAGATTGGATTATAGGCTAGAAAACTGAATTCTCGGAGACGGCAAATTGAATTTTTTTAGAATTAGCAATGTTTTTCTTCGAAAATTAACCTATAAAATAACTAAAAACCCATTTTTAATCGAAAAAATACGAAAAAGAGGTATTTTTCGAAAAGTTTAGCCTATAATTTCAGAAAAATCGTCATTTTCCAGATGAAAATAGATTATGAATCGTCAACAACTCAATTTGGGAAAGGGCAAAACTTTTTCTAGCCTATAATTTGAGATAATTTTGGGTTTTGCGTCAGATTTCGTCACCGAAAAACGAAATTTGCAAAATCCATGACATAATCTTTGGGAATTTGGATTTTCAGGAATTTTTCAATTAGAAAAAATGGGGAAATTCGATTTTCAGCATTGTTTTATCGAGATTTTCAAGTTTTTTGCGGGGAGATTGAAATTGGGTCAAAAATCAGTTTTTCTGCATTTTTTAAAACTTTTTAGTTCAGTTTTTTGTAGTTTTAACAGTCAAATGTGATTTTTTTTTGTATAAATATTTTTTCTATTTTTAAATTATTTCTCCCAATTTTTCAATAAAGAATCACACTATTCTGTAACTGGAAACATAAAAATAATTATTGAAGGGGATAATCCAAAGGAAACAATTTTTCTATGTACAAAAAAAGGAAATCGTTAATCGGTCTTCTCCATTTCGTCTTCGTCTTCTTCTTCGTATTCCGATGAATATACACACAGTTTTGTACGCAATAATAATAATCGAGAGAGAAAAAGTAGAATTGAAAAGAAAAGAAAAACGGGAGGGGGACGACAAAAATTTTGTGATAGAGAAAAGAGATCATTAGAGAAAAAGAGACATTCTGTGTTGTGTGTAGGGAAGAAGAAGAAGAAAATCGGAAAAGAGAGAGAAGGGAGGCCTGTCAGGTTTTTGGAAAAGATGGGCTGTGTGTATGTGAAGAATTAGGGATGGGGAGACGCAGAGAAGGCAGAGGGTGTTCGGCGAGAAGTGGGGGTGGTAGGAGGAAGAAGAAACCTCTTCTTTGTATATTTAGTTGTTGTTTTTTTTTGAAATTTTAGTTTTTAAATTACACAAATTTTCCTGATTTGCCGAATTCCACTATTTCCGTTTTGATTTTTCTAATTTTGTTTCAATTTTCTGATTTTTTAGTATTTTTTTCAACTGGAAAAGTGATGAAATCTTCCAGAAAACCGCCCGAAACAAGAATATTTTCAAAAAATTATCAAGATTGAAATAAAAAATTCTCAGAGACACCGCAATTTTGCGTTGCGGTGTTTGCGTAATTTGCATGATACTGTACGACAGTTTTTTTCGGAATAATTTTGGGGATTTTGGGATTTTTTAAATTTCGTTTTTTTCTTGATATGGCCATATATGGGGGAATTTGAGGTTGAAGCATAGAATAGTGACAAAACGTTCAAAAAGTCATGAAAAACTGTAATTCCGAATTTTAGCTCAGAAACCTGTCGAAAGTTTTTGATTTTCCATCAAAATCTGAAATTTACAAGATATTTTCAACTGAAATTGTGCATTAAAATTTAAAAAACAGTGATTTTTGCCCATTTTTTTCGTCCAAAAATCCAAAAATTTCGAGGTTTCCACCCCCGAACCGCCTCCACAGAAAAACGTTCAATTTTTTTTATTTGATACTTTTCTTTTTATTTCGAATATTACCGGCACATATAAACTAAAGCATCTAGATTACACATCACTGATAAGCGTTTGTGTCAACAGCTACAAGCGGGAAAAATATATATAGGTAGAAACACACTCAGAGGTTAATGTAATTTTGTACAAATTTTCCAAAATTTCAAATTCAAAATCAGTGCAAAATATTTTCCTGGAGATTTAAAGAAAGCGGCAGTTTTTTTTGTTTTCGTTTCCCTGTTCTCCATACTTTTTTGTGTGCACGTCATCTCTTTTCAGCGACAAAGCGGCAAATTTTCATTGACACAGCCAAATATATTTTTGATGGCTGATAGGAAAAACAAAATTGTTGAACTAATAGGATTATTCTTTGGTTTTCAAGCGATTCTACCTAAAAATTGCTGAAAAATGAGCTATTTTTAACTCTTTTTCGTTGATTTTTAGGCCTGCTAAATAATTTGCATACCCAAGTTCGATTTTCTTTATAACTTCCTTCAAAATTAGCCTAGAAAATCGAAAAATAGCTCATTTTGACGCGTTTTTAGGTATCTGCTTTATTTTAACACAGAAACTCAAAATTTGTTGAAATTATAAGATTTTCTTTGGTTTTTCACAAATTTCTGATTTCGAGCGATTCTAGCTGAAAATTTCGAAAAAACGAGCCATTTTTCACTCTTTTACGTTGATTTTGAAGAAAGTTATGAAGAAAATAAGAATTGTGGGTCTGCTAATGATTTAGCAGGCCAATGGGGACGCAGAGAAGCGAGTGAGTTGGCCTGTTAATGTTGGCGCGTCCTATTGAGAGACGCAGAGAAAAGTGGTCTGCTAAATTTTTAGCAGGCCAACGCTTTTTCAAACATTAGCAGACCAATGTCTTTTTCTCTGTGTCTCCTTAGGCCTGCTAAATAATTAGCAGACCACTTTGGCCTGCTAATGTTGATGCGTGCAATTGAGAGACGCAGAGAAGCGAG